CTTCCTGGCTTCCCCTCCACCCTGTTTCTCCAGAGCTTGCTTTTCCAACACTGATCAAGAGAGTGAACCCCACGGACATGGGGTAAAAACGTGAGGCTGGGCAGCCCTCCGTTATAGTGCATATGGGAAGTCATTAAGGACATGATCCTTATAGGAGATTGATTTTATTCCCTAAATTAAAAATATCATGAGGTTCGCCAATAAAATCTAGAGTTATGTTTGTGTGCTTATGCAATGCATTTAAAATATGACAATATACTCCCTTAGAGACATACGTTTTCTTTGCTTGCATATCCCCTGACATTTAAACCCTACAATCCATGCCTGAGGGTTTTTATGCTGTGACAGAGCAATGAACGCTGAGAATCCCAGTGCAGCTCTCCTGCTCCTTACTATCTATCACCCAGCCTTTGGTTTGTAGTACTAACTAAGCACACTGTCTTTCTTCTTAGAGGACGAGACAAGGGAAAAGAAAATCCTATAGTACAAACAACCAGCACATTCCAATTTCATCTTCTGACTGGACCCAGAGCAATGACTGATTTGATGAGCTGCATTTTCTTTTGCCCACAGTTAACAAGATATCGGGATGGAGGCTGAAATGGCTACAAAAAAACCAAAAACCAAAAAAAAAAACAAAAACAAAAAAACCCCCACCATCCTGACACATAGACTGGAATGAGGCTATCAGTTACTGGTTTACTGGGATTATCTCCCCGATTAGCCGCATAGTAACAGGCTGTACCAGGCACTGCCTGGCAGCCCTGTGCCAGCCAACAACTCAGTGTGAATGCAAAAGTGGGAACAAGTGAACTGGAAGGTTATCGAGTCAGAAACATGACGACACAAAAGAGCCTTAGGTTACTTGTAAAAAGGTCCAGATCTCATGCACTAAAATGCCAGGATACTTGGGGAAAAGCTACAGACCCACGAGTCGTACTGAAAAGCAGTGTATGTGGTGGGAGGGGGCAGGGAGGCAGTGGGCACACAATTGCCTAAATAAGCCACAGTGCCCTCTCCATGTATTTAAAAGCCCAACTCTCTAATCAGGCACTAAATAGTTCAGAGAAATCAGGCTATAGAGCTGTTAAAACAAGCAAAACATGAATAAAGCCACATCAAAATACTTCATCACAATCCCTTTTTCTCCTTTTCAAAAGAACAGAACAAGGAAAAGGGAAAAGATACAAGCAAAGGTAAAGAAGAAAGAAAAGGTTGTATGATCTAAAACTACAGCAGCACAACTCAATCGTTCCGTCCCAGCAGGGCAAGGGTTAAGTGCTGCATTTTGTATCCAGGCAGCAGTAGGCAAATGGCACGGCTGTGACGTGAAGAGATCTGGAAAATTTTTCCAGTGAATGCTCCTAAGAGGAGCAAGAGTTGGTATAACACAGTCGGCAAGAGAGCTGCTGTAGCCTTGTTTCGTGTTTCCTCTTTCTACTTGGCCATTCCACCTCATCTTGGTGATCTTAGCTCAACCTTGTGTGTCCCTTCTAACAACTGGAACATTTCTATACTCATTCCCTGGACTCCAGATACCTAATTCTAACAGCATAAGAAGGTACATGATGGAGGCTACAGTTGAAAATACAGATAGAGCAATGGAAAAATAAGTCATGTCCCAAGCACACTGATTAAACTCACAAATGTACAATCTTTCCAATTCTGCCCACATGATACCCTAAGAAGAGAGAGGAATTTTCCTCATTTTGTTCCACGATGTTACTTAGCAAAACCTGCCCGGTCACTGCCGAGAGGGCACGTGGTTAGAGTGGAGCGTGGGGACTGGCAGTGCCGGCGCAGTGGGCTCACCCGGACACAGCAAGGGCTGCTCCAAAAAAAAAAAAAAAGTCTGGACAAGTCACACCAGCTAGCTGGGGTAGAGGGCATTCTGGGGGTAGGTCCAGCATTTGTTATTTGTTTTTTTTAAAAAAAAAAAAAACAATGTAACACAGAGGTTTTTCAGTTAGGAAAAAAACATGTACCCTTCAAAGGGTCACAGACAGATGGGAAAAAATGGCATCTGGGCCCAGCTGTAAATATAAAAACCTACCAATGCTTGAATTGACTTCATAAAAAGCAGGAAAGCACAAGGTGATTTGCATGCTGCGATTTCTCCAGCAGGTGACAGGCGTCTCCTGCATCCATCTTGGTAAAAATCTACCTACAGGCACAGCCAAGCCAAGGGCATCCTGCCCTCCTCCCAAGGGCATCCATGTTGGGCCCGGTGCCGGAAAGGGGCATTTTCTCCACAGGGGAAAGCCGTCGCTGCCACCTTCTCTGCCTCAGAGAAGCTCTGTCATTTCTTACATTGCCGGAAAGAGGCACAAAACAAAAACGCGATATTCAGCCCAGCACCTGCCCCTTGGAAAAGGGAAGGGAAGAGGCGGCAGGCACAGCAGTCCTGGCGTCCACACTAATAGATCGGCGTGCTGGTACCTTGCTGGAGGTGACAGGCACGCACAGATATTAGCACACGGGCGCACACACAGTCTCTCTCCCTCCCTCTCATGGACCAATAAATGTCAGCTTAAAGAATGAGTCGGTCCATACTGCCTGACCCTCTAGAGCAAATATTATTCTAAGAAGAATGGAATTGGAATGAGGAAAGAGATATATTTTATGATGGGGAAAAACACGGGAGGGCAAATCGTGCCTGGAGTCAATACAGCCTCTGCCTCTGAGAGGCGGCAGGGTCCGCTTCCCACCAGGGAAGGAGGCCCCGTTAACCGGGGACAAGGGCACGGGTTCCATTCCGCAGTGCGCCTCCCTGGCCACCCTCAAGTTATGGGAGTTGCCAGGGAGCTGGTCAAGAGCTGTTGGTCCTCCCACACCCCACCGTTCTCCAGGTTTTCCCTTCTGCCTAAGAAAAGGCAGCCAGCCACCTTCATGCCTAAAACACTGTGACAATAATCTCACTGGAGAACGGTCTCCCCAAAATAAAATATGAAAGCTAAAAGCCATTGCTTTAAAGAACTACATTTTCCATGGCTCAGAGATAGCTGTGCTTCCCAGCAATGCCTCGGAATGAGACTTCACCTTGACTAACCTTGAAGTGTGATGCATTATTAACCCTTTCATTTTCAATCAAGAGAGATGCCCTACAGGCTGCATTTTTTTTTTCCTTTACAAAAAAAAAAATACATATATACATTCCAGCGTCTTCCATTTCAAAATGTCAGCTAAGCACTATTTCCCTGACTCATTCTGCTGTGGATCCTCACTGATCCTCCCTACCAGCAGCCCTGCCTCAGCCCCTTTTCAGCCCTTTTTCAGCCCCTCTTAGACTGCGGTGATGCTGGTGCTGGTGGTGCAGGTGCTGACGATGAGGACGGTACGGGAGGAGGAGGGGGCAGTGATGCGGCAGAGCGGGGGGAGTTCCCTCCCTCCCTTCCTCAGTCACGACTCAGATTCGCCTACAACTCTGCCCTTCAAAATGACCTTTTTCAAAAAAAAAAAAAGTCACCCTTCCGGAGTAGGGGAGGGAAAACAAGTAAGGTATCTAATTTTCAACGAGGAAAAAAAGTGCATCCAACCACGCAACAGGCTGCGCACAATCTTATAAGGTGTGCCGCCGCTTCTGCGTCGGTGCCATTTATTTCTTAGACTGACCCTTCACTGTCACCAAGCGCAGCTCCTGAGCCGCACCTGTCCGCGTAGAATTTGAAAACAACCAGACTTTGCCACGCTTCAGGCCAAGACTGAGAAACGGGGCCCTGACACGGAGCTTACAGGGCCACGTCTGGGCTGCGACGACTCTGCGGGAGGTCGCTGGGGAAACCCTGGCCGTCGTTATGAAATGCTGCAGTGTGCATGGAGTCCTCCCTCCTTCCCCGTCCTCTCTCGAGGTACACATTTAGACTGGAGGAAAGATGCTGTAACGCACCCTCGCCCGCATTCGATCTGATTACCTCGTGAGGTTCCCTCGCAGCCCCAAATCTCATCTTTGAAGGGCGAGGGACGTGACTGCAGTGCGAGACATAGCTAGCCCCCCCCCCAGCCTGACGTTCCCAGGAGGAAGGGGCTCCGCGACACACGGTAGGAGAGGCTGCGAATTACCAAGACCGGATCGCTACGGTACACACAGCCACCTCCTGGAGAGCTCCAGCCCCAACCCCGCACCCCATCCCGGGACTCCGCATTTTGCACAGGACAACAAGGCCAGGCCAGCGCGACCCGCGCGGCGCCCGCCACCTGATCCCTCTCCGCCCGGGCCGGCGCGGTGGGCGCGGAACTGTCCGCAGAGCCTGTGCTGGGCACGCGCCGCCCGGGGACGGCGGGGCACCGGGGGCGAGAGCTACAGACCCCGTACTTACACCAACTGCCACCGGTCCTGCCCAGAAACTCCTTCTTCTCCGAGTTCCAGATGAATTTCTTCCAACTGCCCTCCTCCTTGGCTTTCCCGCGGGCCATGGCGACGGCGGGTCAGCAGCGGCCGCGGGCACTGGGGTGGGGTGAGTGCGGCGCGCGCCCTCTCCGGCTGCCGGTCTGCGCCCCGGCCCGGCTCTCCGCAGCTGGACGCGCCGCTGCGGCTGCGGCTCTCCGAGTGCGAGACGCGCGGCGGAGGAGCCGAGGCAGGAGCGGGAGGAGGCGGAGGCGGCCGCGGCGGCGGGGGCGGAGGGGGGGGACGGCGCGGGCTGGGCGGCTCCGAGCCCCGCACCTATTGGTGGGCGCGCGGCCGCTCGCGGGCGCTCTTTGGTCGGCCGCGCACTCCTCTCGCCCTTGGAGAGTGAGGGCTCCGCGAACCCGCAGCTGCCGCGCCCGCCGCCCCTGGGGACGCGTGCCGGCCCCCGCCTCCTGTGACCTCTGCGGAGACAGGCAGGAGAGAGAGAAGCAAGGACGGACGGGCGGACTGCGGGCCGGGCACACGCGCGCCCGCCACGAGCCGAGAATTGGCGGAGGGCGCACGCCCTACCTTTACTATATACCGCGCCTCCGCGGCCCGGGGCCCCGCCCACTGGCGGCCGGGCCGGCCAATCGCCGGCGCGCAGGGGCGGGGTCTCGGGCCCGAAGGGGCGGGCGCGGGGCCGGCACAAAGGAGCCGCCTAGGCGAGAGGGGCTGGCTGGAGTGCGGGGGCGCGGAGAGGGGCGGAGGGAACCGCGGCGAACGCGCAGGCAGCGCGGCGCAGCCCTCCCCGCTGCCGTTGGGGCCAGCCGCCCCTTCCGTGGTGGGGTGTCCTGCACCTGAGTCACCCAGAGCCCTGGGGAGCCCGGCCGGATGTCCTGACCCACTCCCTCCAGCCCTGCCTGGTCTCACCCGCGCGCCCTGGGCCTCCCTCCGCTGCAGGTCCACCGCTTCCAGGCCCTGGCGGGGTGGAGGAAGGTCACTCAGGGACGCCTGAGAGTCGGGGACTCTGCCCAGCTCCGCCCCGCCTCTCTGCTCTAGCACCTGCCGCCCCCTCGCACTCCCTGCCGCTGCGGTTGCAGTTCCGGCGCGGCCCTCTCCTTCCAGGCTAGCCCAGCCGGCAGCCCCAGTTCCTGACCGCCCGGCCGTGCTCCCTGTGGGCGGCCTGAACCACCTCGAGCAGGACAATTGCCAAACCCACCCTGGGCGGTAGCCTGGAGCCAGGGCTCGGGAGGGGTATCCCCGAGTGAGCCGTCCTATTGAAACCGGTTGCGGCTCACGCCAGTCTAGACCCTGGGCGACAATGTCTGCAAGAGACCCAGCCACCAAAGAGTCTCTTTGGTGCCTAGCGGCTGGTATCCTCATTGCCATTCTTTTACGCCCCTTTGGGAGTACCGACCCCTATGTTCTGCTGTAAAATTCTTGGAGCCAAAGTAGTAATACCTTTGGGAAGACCTAGCTCACAGGGCGAGACGTCGCGGGCAGTCCTGGGCTTTTCTGTCATTCATGTGCTGTTGCTGTAAAGCCACACTCTTGGTTTCAGGCCCCTCTGCTGAGCCCCTGAGCAGCGTCACACACCCCTCTCAGGGCAGTGACACAGCAGAAAACGCAGGGATGCTTCCGCAGTCACTGCAGAGAAGCCCCGTCCCTGGGGGGCAACGCGGCCCATCCTGAAAAGGAGGAATTCCCAGCCTCATATCAAGGAATTACCCAACGCTTGTCCAAGCCACCCCCTGTCCCAAGGTCAACCTTGCAGGCCTAAGGACAAGCTCCAGTTGATATAGAATGAGCATTTTCCTGCCAGTCCCTCTCAAGGCTCACCTGCAAGACCTGTACAAACTTGAAATTTCCTGAAATTCAGGGGGAAGCAGCCAACCATCCACAGAGACGCAGAGGTACTGCTGCAGGGCTCCGTCAAGGGCGGTGAGAGGGCAGTTTGTGGAGAAAGGAAGCCACCTCCTGCTTTGCCCCTGTAGTGTCTGTGTTGGAAGAACCCCAGGTTGGTGGTGGGAAAACTGCAGGAAGAGGCTGCACATAGGATGCCCCTGGTACCCTGCAGGCAGAAGTTACCTCATGGAGGACTTTCCAGCAGGACAGGTCACTGGGAAGGGCATGTGTTTGTCCGGTGCACACCGCAAGCTACTGTAGGAAGAAGGAAAGCCTGTGGGCAGAGTCGGCCAATAAAAGGGGGGGAGGAGGAGTGGGGGAGGGGAGCTAGCATGGGAAGGGATGAAATGGCCAGGGAAGGTTATGGTGCCCTTCCTTGTGCCAACCTCCCATCCCCCACCCTTGATGTTTCCATCTCTCTCTCCTCTCTCCCTCCCTCCCCCAGGAGAAGCATGTGGTAAAACAAAGTATGTAGATAGAGGCTCACAGTGACAGATTTTTAATTGGAACCCCCCTTTTTTCTTAAAAATATGTCCCACCTTAGCTCTCCAGGGTGTGGCAAATGCCAAGCAGACTGCTGCTGGGTCTGGGAAAGACAGGTGTTGTCTCTTGTCCTTGACCTCTTGTCTGCCTTTGGAGGATATCTCCTCCCCCCTCCTCAAATTTTAGTTCCCTCGCTTTGCTTATTCTCTGTCCCCTGCATGTAAACTCTTCACAGGCTCTGATAAAGTCCTGAGGGTCACGCCTGCATAGCCAACTCAGCATTTCATTCTAAACCAGCCCCCTTCAGGCTTCCCAGAAACCTCCATTTCCACCCAAACCTGGTATTGCTGCTGGATTATGATCTCAGCCCTATGGGAACCAGATTTCTCTCCGTGGCTCACCTCAAATTCCACCTGCAGGGCCACTCTAGACCATCTGGAATTGTTCCACCCATCTAACCACCTCCCCGCATAGAGCAAGCTGGTGAAGAACAAGACAGACTTGTGTTCACACTCCCAGCCTCAGAACAGCTAGCTGTGACCTTGGGCAAGTCATTTATTCTCTCCAGGGCTGTTCCCTCAGTTGTAAAATTGAAGGGATACAGTGTTGCAAGGATTAAAGGGGAGATGTGAGAAAGTGTTAAGCACAGTGCCTTGTGCATAGCAAGAGCTATTAAGTAGCTAGCTTTATTACCGTTGCCTGTTTCCATTTGACCTTGTCTAACCTTGATGCCGTTGCTGTGACTTTGCCATCTACTCATTCTGATACCCACCCTCTGCCAGGACTCCGAGTTCCCATCAGCCCCTAGAAGGCCACCTTGCCAAATTCCCCACCCTCTATGCCACCTTTCCCCTTGCCTTTCCAGTGTGCTTATTGCTCAGTGACCTCCTCTAACTCAAGTAATGAATAACTCAAGCACACCATGTCCCTTTAGGCTGCGCTGGGCTGGGATTTTATTCCAAGGCCCCTTCTGTAAAGAGTGCTGTAGCAGCAGGTTGGAAGCGGAAAGTCTGCGGTTGTCCAGAGGGAGGGGTGCCCCTGGCAGGTGGAGTGCACGGCTGGGTGCGGAGGGGGGTGTGGGCCATGGGGAACTAAGACAGCTGCTCAATAAACGCCTTGAAAGTCCAGTGAATCTCTGCAGAAAGAAGGAGGAATAACTTCCTCAGCTCAGTTTAAAGGCTCAGGGTGAAAAGAACAACCCCTAATCCCTTGCCCCACACAGGCTAGGGAAGAGGGATGGTTCTGGAGTCCTGTGATTGGTTCTGTCCAAGGTTAGTGCTCTGTATGTGGGTAGCTAGAGGGGAAGCAGACAGCAGGAACGGCAGCAGAGAGTAGAGGGGGCTTGGGGGGGACCTCAGTCCAAGTAAAGACAATGGTTCTAACTCAGGAAACAACCAGAAACTGTTGTGATTGAAGCAGAATCTACCCTGGAGGCAGAGACAGAGGCTGGCTGGCAGGTAAAGGCAGGACAAGGCCATCCTGTTTTGTAGCAAGATGGCCAGTTGGAAGCTGAGCTAGGAGAAGAAGCAGGACAAATCAACCCCCAGCAGTAAGAGCCTTCTGTTCTGCATCAGAGAGGCTAAAATGGAGGTGCCTGCGAAAGAGAGGGTGCAACTTGGCAGGCTGCAGGAAGGAGAACCAGTCTTAACCGCCCCCTACCCCACCCCTCCCCAGCCATTGGCTTTCTGAACCAACACAATGCAGTCTGCTCTGCAGAGGGCTCCAGAGGGCTGAGCTGCCAATCCCACCTTCGCACACGTGCTCATGCACAGCGGGGTTCTGTGCGGCCAGCCCTAGAGTATTTTAAGTACAGAGTGGAGGGGATGAGGGTATGTGTTGCATGGTGACTCATCCTGGCAGCAGAAACTGTGTGCAGTGCAGGGGAAAATGGCTCAGTGGCAGGCTCTGTTTGCAGTGGAAAGCGGCCGCTATGCACAGCTCTGCAGTGGAGGGCTGCTTAGAGCTGGGCGAGGGTGGGCACTGGGAAATGCTGCCAGACTAGTCACCATGGCTGGGATGTGGGTAGATACCTGGGTGGCACCTAACCTCGGGTTGGGCTGCGTGCCTGACCATCGTTATGGAAGGAAGCCCGAATGCTCCACAGGGCACCATTCTGTGCTTCACAGGGGACTGCTCATGTTTAACCGAAAAGCAAGCCACTCTCCCTGGTTTTGGTTTCTAACAATAGTTTAACATGACTTCAGTTTACACCCTGAATGAGGACAATAGAAATATCCTTTAAGTACTTTCATTTGAAGGTATTCTGGTACTTTCCTATTTCCCTGTGTCTGGAATGGAATTGCTGTCCTGTGGGAAGACATAGTATGAAAATAAGAAGAAAAGGACCTTTTAAAAAATAAGTTGGACTATTCCTGCCATCAGTGGGAGTGACGGTTTACTCACTTGTCATTTGGCTGTCATGCTTTGACCTGCAGATTCCTAGAAGTTGCTTTCTGCCATGCCGTACCCTAACTGGTAAATCCAGAAAGCATCCTGGTATAAGTGAAGCATTCTGGGATTTCTCTCCCTACCCCATGACCTTTGTCAAGTTGTGAAGTGTGTGGATAGTGGATGTGACCACAACAGAGAGAAAGGGACACACAGAGAATGGTTTTTATTTTGTTTGTTTTAGCTGTACCATAGAGGTGTGTGTGGTCTCTGTAGGTAATCAGGACTTACTTGCATGATCCATGGGCAGTAGGACTGAAGGCCAGTGAATAAGTGGTGCTAAACCATTGTTAGAGCTTTGAGAAACAGCTTGCCTGCTCTTTTGTACTTTCCTAGCCTGTATTCAACCTAGTGGGTTGAATCCGTTTTTACCTTGGAAAATTCTCTGACGTAAAAAATAAAGTTCCTTTCCAGAATTTTCCATCTGCTTAAAAGGTGACAAGTGTATGATACTCTTTTGAGAGGCTAATCTCAGTAAGAAGAGGTCTCTCTACAACATTCTCCTGCAGAGAAGCATGGTCTCCTCAGCAGCAGAGGATCTGGGGTATCTCATGACCGACCCCCTTCTTGCTGGGCCACTTGAAGTCTTCTAAAGATGAAGGGAATATCTATTTTATGGTCTGCTTAATGTTCAGCTTCTTTCTGCAGCCTTAATTGATGTGTAGTCGTTATAGAAAAACTCATTGTGTGTGGTGCTGAAGATAATGTCAGAGACCCTCTACTACTCCAAACTCCCATCTCCTGGGACAAGGTAGCTGGTCAACTGGCCCCTATTTGGATCCCTCCAGAGGCTGTATACTCCCTACCTTGCAGCAAAACATTCCATTGTTAAGAAACTCTGAGCTAAAACCTAGCTCCTTAGAACTTCTGTCCAATCCTAGTTCTCGCCTTTGCAGGAACAAGATGCAAGTCTGCTGTATCTCCAGGTGGCAGCTCTACAAATATAAAAAACATCTCCCCTGTCTCCCTAGTTTTTACTTTCAAAGTAAAAAATACCCTGTGTTTTCAGTCCTTGTATGAGATGGTTTCTAATGCCCTCATTGTACTTACTGAGTTCCTCTTCATGGCTCCTCAATTGTTGATGTCCTTTGCTAAGCAGGTGCCCTGGTTCTGAGGAGTGCAGAGTCCAGTGGAGCTAATGTTTGTGTATGATCTGGACGCTGTCATCTTTATCAATTACTGTTATTCCCAAGCTGTGCCTTCATGGTGTTTTGGAGCCAAGGCTTCTCTAATGCTGATGTTAGATAAGTGTTTTGGAAAAAGCTCTTATGCTTGCAAAAACAGAGATACCCCTTTCCTCAAAGTCTAACTCAAGTAGAATGGATACCAGTCGCGGTGGGGGGCATGCCAATCCCTGGATCCAGGGCAAGGCACTGCACACACTGACATCACAGGGGCAGTCGTGGGGTGGTGCTGGGCCAGGGTCTAGAGATCTTCAGCCAACCTTCCTAGCATTCACCCACCCAAGTGACTCAGCTGCACTCTGAATACTGCTTCTTGCTTCTAACCAATCCCTGAGCCCTGCTTCCCCAGCTCCCACCAGTGCCCAACTTTATCCTGCATACAGGTCAGCCAGCTAAGGTTTTCATGGTCCTGCCTTTCTCATGATCCTACAGCTGCAGTTTTCATTGCTAACTGGCAATGCTTACTTTGCTTTTAGTCTGGATTCCAGGCAGAGGGAATCAGATTGGCACAGTGCACATTTTCCTACCAGGTCATAGGTTGCTGGGAAACCTAAGCTTTGACTGCCTCGGCGTTTGTTCCTCCCCGCGAGGTGGCCAAGATGCGGAGGAGTCATGCAGGATTAAATGGCTGCTTAGTGGTTGGCTGGCACTGGGCAGACGGGCACATCCTCGGGTAAGCAGGCAGGCAGGTAGGCAAACAAACACACGGAACAAAGAGCCTTTTACACCCCATCAAATACGCTGACTTCTTTCTGGGGTACCGTACCTTTCCACGTCATTCTAGAAATATTGCATTTTAATGTGGTTAGTTTGCACAAAGCAAAGGGGAAAAAATAAAATTAAAAAAAGAGACTGTTTTGCATGTATTTTTACTTCAGGGAGGAGCTGGGAGGCAGGAAAATGCAAAATAATTTGCATAAACTGACTTGCAACGTAATTTATACTCGTCTCTGTACCAAGTAATGAGAAGGGTTTTATGCCTGAAAGAGTAAATCCTTTAGGCAAACTGGCTGTTTGCAATATCTGTATCCTAGCTAGCTAACAGCCTATTTTTTGATTAATAAATGATAACATTCAGTGTTTCCTATCATGAGCAGGGCGTGGCACCCTGTGATCCCCGTGGAAGGCGGGCTCCCGTTAGTAAAATGTTACTGAAATGCGTCCTGTGTACCTGACGGCTTCCTATGCACTTGCATCACATGACACTCCCCACCCCCTTGACTTCTTGGTTCTAAAGGTCGTTGCTGTGCCTTTCCTTACAGTGATACCTCCAAAGACACTGCCCATATAAACAAATGGAACGACGGGAAAACAAGAATCACTGAGCGCTGGCTTCCCCAAGACTTCTTGCTCCAGTTAAACCTGTGCCACTATACCAGAAGCTACAGTGAGGGACAATAACTGCCTTCGTCACATGCTTACTCTAAGCCAGACACTGTGCCAAGGGTTTAATATGGATTGCATTTGCCCCCTTGTTTTCTGCTTTCTATTACCTTTTTTACAACTCAGTGAGGTAGGTCCTGTTATTATCATCTTCATTTTACAAATGAAGCACCTCCTATAGTCTCCTATACATTAAGTCCCTAAGGCTAGCAAGAAGGGAGGCCACATTCAAAGCCAGGCAGTCTGGCTCCAGAGCCCAGGCTCAGATCCACTGGGCCTATAGCTCATGGCACCAAATGGGCAAACGGGTGCTGTCACGAAAAGGCTCTTTGCTTTTTTTTATTTTAAAAGCTCTCCAAGATAATGTAAATCTTCCTTGGATCACAATGTAAAGAAGCCTTTCTTGGATTCATGAACTCATCCATCAATCATTTATCGATTGCCTACTGTGCATATGGTATTGTCTTAGAAACTGCAGGAATAACAAAGGACACATACAATACGGTTTGGACCTTTTAGCAGCAAACTATCTGGTTGGGGAGGCAAGATACACAGGAAAGTGCAAACCACAATGCGAGGCGGTAACTGTTCCACAGCGAATTCCACAAATAGGAGGTACAATGGGAAGTTAGAGAAGAGAGATAGCCCTTGTGCAGAAGGTGACCCTGAACAGGAACATGATAGTACTTGAGGGAGTACCAGAGAGGAGGGAACATTCATTTGCTCATTCATTGAATATTGATGACCCTTACAGTGTGCTGGTCGCTTTGCTGGTCGCTGGAGTGTCGAGATGGTCAAGAAGCTTATTCTCTCATACGGGGACAGACCGACGTTTACCAAGGATGCTAGAAGAGCACGCAGCACTTAACGACTCCTGAGAATTGAGGAGGTTTCCTAATGATGGGGATATTTGGAGAAGGAAGTGTTCACCTGCGTGAGGAAGTGAGAGGAACGGCACAACGGGCAGAGGAGAAGCACGTGCAAATGCACAGAAATTCGGGGTGTATTTCATCAAGGTAGACCGAAGAGACACCTTTGATGGGGACAAAATTTGTTTTAGTAGAGAATAGATAAGGCTTACAGGTGCAGTGTCCAGACAGCCCTTATTTAAGGAAGAACTGGAGTGAGGCAGATCAGGGCTCATCAGGGAACTATGACTTCGTTCCCAGCACTGCCCCATTCATAGAGGCAGGAAGAAAAGATGCTCAGCTCCTCCAGAACAGGCCACCAGCCCTGTGCCTCCTGCTTCTCCATAGCTATGCTCCCTGGCTTGGACTGGGTGACATTCAGGCTCTGTGCCACCGTGACCAACAGGAAAAGTCAAACTTCACTGCGAAACACCATTGTCTTAAAAGAGGGCATCCTTGTTCCTTTTGCCTCTCCCATGGCTTCTGCATAGTGTTTGCTTAAGAAAATTTGCACATGCTCAGAAAATGGCCTGTCCTTCACCTACGGGGACAGGTTTCAAACGGAATCAGAATTAGCCCGAAGAAAACCAGACAGCAGTCTCATAGGATATTTGACACATATCGAGACTCCTTTTATTTCCCTTTCACATACTACTGTGTTGTCTTAGCTTTCATACGAATTTGGAGGTGACAGGGAAGTCCTGTGACTTGGAGGTGATTATTCTCACCACCAGAACACAGAGCTTCCTCAACTGCCAACATGGAAGAAAGGATGTTTCTGTCCCTCCCTACATTTTAACACTGGTTCCTCCCACACCAACCTTTTACATGCTGTTTGGGTTCTGCGACCCTGCCAGCACTGTGATTTAACTGTGAGTTGATTAAATATCTTTTTGGAGTTTACTTGGGGAGCTAACCTTCATGTATATTATCGACCTATAGAAAAATGTGTTGTAAGTTCCAAAGAGGTAACATATGGATTTTTAAAAAATATAGCCTCATGGTAAGATGAACTTTTCATCCTAATAATACTTTCCCTTGACTGGCAGACTGGCACAGGGGTTGGGTGAAGCTGAGCATGCCTGGTCTTAGAAACTACCAGATTTGTAAGAAGACTTAGAGGCCATTTTTCAGATGAGGAAGTAGAAACTCAGAGAGGAAAGTGGCTGGCGACGTGTGGCCTGACCAAGGTCTTGGACCTCACATCCATGTTCATACACATCTTATGATGATTCTTGGGTGAGCCTGGAGAAACAGCCACACATGCAGATGGAGAATAAGCATTGCCTACATTTGAGGGACCCTCCCCCAAGGAAAAACTTTACCGTGATCTTCTGTTAAAAGGAAAAAAGAAAACAGAAAAGACAGAAAAATCCCCATGGTGGTTTTATCAGTCAGGGTTAGATTTGGTTAAAATAATAATAACAATGGCGTCAACATCATAACATTTTATTTCCCTTTCACTTGCCAGTCCAGAGGTAGCTTGTCCAGGACTGGGATAATGGCTGTATTCCAGTAAGTCCTCGGGGAGCTGGGCCCCTTCCAGCTCACCCTTATACCTCCCATGTGGCCCCTGCTCTCATGGGCCACAGTGGTGCCCAGGACACTGATCATCCCATCCCCGCTGGTGGAGGGGGAAGGCAGAAATGCCACCTGCCCTTTATGGAAACATCAGTCCTAGAAACTGTCACAGGACGCTTCTGCTCCCATCTCATTGGTCAGAACTCGGCTTCAGGGCAACACTTAGCTATACGAGAAGATGAGAAATGAAGTTTTTATTTTGGGAAACATGAGCCCTGCTAAAAATTAGAGGTTCTATCGCTGTCTCTGACATAGAGATGCAGGGAAATCTGACACGTATCGATTTGTTCTTTTCCATTGGTATTGTCCAGGCCTTTTGCACACACAAATCCTGGGAGGGGGCCCATTGTCTGACATTTCATTCTCCAGTGAGAAGACCAAATCCCTTTGTTTTATGTTAAGAAAGGCAAGCCATTAGAAGAGTAAACCATTAGAAGAGTCCAGGCCACTGGGGTCAGGGGATGTGGCCCCGGAAGTGGTGGAGAAGCAGAGCTGGAAAAGATCTTAGAAAGAGCGTGCAGGAAACAGGTGCCCGCAGTGCAGTGGCACCACCCGTGACTTTGCCCCATTGGCAAGGGCCGTCGACACCCTGCACACCACCCTTCTCCACTTCCTGTCCCAGCAGTGGTTCCATTCTCTGCCAGCCTCTTTGGGGGCTCGTGGGACTTCGACAGCGGTTGCCCGTTCTTAGTATGAGCTGAGGTGGCACAGGATGTGCGGTTTGTTCAAACCCGGCATACCAGCTGCGGTGCCAGTTTCAGCACGCAACCAACAACAGGGCTTAGCACCGCAGTGCACGGTTAGTTGTAAATCAATAACTACTTTTAGCAAATCAATAAACCTTCAATTTTACTGGCCTTCCCGAAGGATGGAATGTTAGAGTGACCTTTGAAGTTTGTATTAGACTTGACCAACATTGGACCACACATCATTGAGAACACCGTGTAACTTTCGTCAGTTCTGCAGGCTTTCCAAACTCTCTGTGGCCACAAGGCCTTTGCACATGCTATTCCCTCCATGTCTGGAATGTTCATCTGTCTGTATTCTCTTGGCTGGATAACACCTACTGAGCACTTCTGGGAATAGAAAAAAATGCTTCAGCCACAGGTTTTCCTGTCACTGTGTAACTTATTTGTGCCATTTGTCACAGATGTAATTCTACCTTCGTTTGTGGGATTATTTGCTGAGACTTTAATTTCATGAGAGCAGGCTTTTGCCACCTTGGTGTCCCCTGCGCCTGACACAGTGGCGGGCACATAGTATGCACTCAGTGAGTTTAGGTGAATGGGTGAAATGGCTCCCCCTGCAGTGTTCTCCAACCCTCATGCAGTTTGCACAGTTTCTCAATATGTTGACTGTGAACTGTCTGCACCAGATTTAGCACCTTTAAAATGTAGATTCCTGGACTTTATCCAGTCTCTCATCTGGGGAGAAACTAGGAATCTGCATGCAAGCAAGCTTCCCAGGTAATTGTTAAGCGCCATCAATATCTGAGGATCCCCACGGAGAAGTATGTGGAAAGTTCAGGAAGACACTGCAGTGTGGCTGTCATTAAGAGGCCCATGCCGAGCACAGGAATGAGCCTCCAGGACAGGGCTGTTGCATTCAAGAGCTACCTCAGTCTGCTTAAATTTAGAGAGAAGAAACTTACAAAACAACGTTGTTCTTCGAGATTTGAAAACACCAGGGAAAATTTGAAGACAGCTGTTACTTGGGCTTAGGGAGTTAAGGTTATGGTGGAAATAAAACAATGCGTGTTCAGGGTAGCACCTGTGCACACAGGGTTTTAAAGATGTAAACAAAGACTCTGTTGTTACCACTATCTCTCCTCCCCCCACAAGCCCCCTGTCCCCAGGTAGAGTAGTGACAATATTTTGCCAAGAGGCCCTCTGAATTAAGACCTGAGTCCTTCTTGGAAACTTCAGTCTGATTTAAAGCCTCCCCACTTGATAAGACATATAGTTACCTGTTAAAGATTATCCAAACCTGCCAGCCGACGAACTTCAATCCTCGTTTTCTTAAAGAAAAAAAAAATTGGAGTATACTGTATCCTGAAGTCGAGAATGCACGTGACCAACCACACTTAGTGAGGTCTAGCCATACAGCTTAATGACAAGGAGTGTGAAAGGAGGTTGAAGTGAGAGTTATGCTGAATGTTTTTGTCTCTCTTTCTGCTCGCCCCACTTGCTTTTTTTTATGCAGCTCCAAAGGTCTCCTCTTCCTCTTCTGAGATTCTTTCCCCTTCTTTCCCCCCTTGAGGACAGGTTCCTATCTTCCTTTAAGGATCATAGATTCTTTACCTTCCAAGAGTTTCTTTCCCTTTCTCCCATTGCCCCAGGTTCCTCATTTTATTATTTTAGCAAGATTTTGGGTAATCACT